AACCCTAAACCCCAAGCCCAAAACCGGAGCCTTGAAACTTAAGCTCGAAATCCGCTCAGCCCTAAACTCTCAACCCCATCATCTAAGCTTCATGTTCAAACCCCCCTAAACCCTTTAACCCTAAACCCTAAACCCTAAACCCTAAACCCTAAGCCGCAATAAGCCACAAAATCTGTAAGATAATGTACGAGTTTGGGGGTGAGAGTTTTACAAAGTACGGCAATCCGACGTCTTCCTCGCACTCGAAGCCCTCGCAGCTTCGATTCCTACTCCTTTTCCTTTTGGTCGCTCTCTGCCCAGGTCCGACGAGGGCTCGGTTCCTTTTGCATGAGCTCGGCGACGAGGCTCCTTCCGGCTCCTTCGCTGTCGAGCCCTAGGGGGTAGTTTTCTAAAATAGGGTCCCTTTTGGGGTCCTTTTTAGAAGGGTGCCGTACTATATTGGGGACCCAAAAAGGGACCCTAATTTAGAGAACTATCCATATACTTTGGCCTTTTTGTAGTCCCCATGGCCCAAGTTTATGCAGCATGGGTACATGAACCCTTAGGGCTTATAGACACTTGTGGAACATCAAAACCCGAAAGACGAACCCTGTAGGAAGAGCAGTTGTGAATCCTATTGAGCCCTATATAAGCTCTTTGAGAGAGAGAGAGAGAGAGACCGCATTTCGCGTCTCTTCGAATTAACTGAAGAGTTTTCAAGCAAGAACCCTTTATTTCAAAAATTACAACGTCAGCACTTGCAGAAGGATTGGTATCTCCTTAAAAGGTACTATGAGTGGTAGGCAACTACGGCTAGACATGTTGATTGGTAGTAACAGGAACAGCAAACTCAATGGCCAGACTTAGCAACCAGGTATTAGAGAAACACAGAAGCATTATCAGCTGTCGCAGACATGTCAGCAGCGCTGTGAGTAGTGTTTGCAATTCTAGACGGTGTGTTTTGGGGTATATTTCCCTAAGGGAGGTATAGTAAGTCTATTGATTTCGGGCTCCGTGTTGTAACTATAGTACAACACACCCCAAACCCCATACTAATTCGAAACGTCCCTGCTTTACGATCCCCTTCTCCCGACTTTTCGAGGGATTGCACGTTGCGCGAGAGCTCGAGGACTGAGCCATTCTACCTTAGGAACACTGAGTCCATCGTCCACCCGACCCTGAAGAACTTGCCTTTTTGGGGCTTCTCATTTTGTACCTTCCTTATGTACATCCTTCAGAAGGTAGATTCTTCAGGGTCAGCAATAGCATGCTTTGACAATCCCTCTCTAAGTACACTACCTGTACTGTAATATTACGCAAACTCTGTCTTTGTCGGCCCACCCATACACCGCTTGAAGCAACAAGCTATAACATTTTGCAGAACCCTCAGCCGTACATTCGCGACCCTTTCCGAATAGCATACGAACCTAAACCCCTAAACCTTGCTATTCCTAGAGAGGGCGCTAGGGCCCAGTAATATGGGGCTTTGGAGAACTAGCGCCAGCATTTCCTTAAACCCTACTTTATGTTAAGAACCTGCACCCTTTAAAGACACTCTAAACTCACGTCTTTGGGTCTTGTGGGGATTATGTTTGGATTTTCAGGTGTAGGTTTTAGATTTTAGGATTTTTTTTGTTTGGGGGGGGTTTAGGGTTTGGGTGCGGGGAGCTTCACGAGCACCAGCAATGCCGACCGCAGCTGCTTCGGCTCAGCTCTAATGTCAGGCTCTTCGTGTTGACGTTCTTTCCTCCAAGGCCCCTCCGTGAGAACATGACTTTGCGTGCCTGCTGCTTGGATCCCGTGTGCACAGAGCTTAGGGTTAAGAGCTGGGAACTAGGTTTTTCTGATGTGGACTTTGGGTTCAGGCTCTAGGATTCGTTGCTTTTGCGGGTCAAGGGTTGATCATAGGGACCCTTACAAAAGACAGGGGAGAGGGGGCTAGGGGACGAGACTTCCTTAAATAGGCCTTATTAGGTCCTGGCGTTACGGCCCCCTACCCCCGCTCCCCCCTACCCCTCCCTCTAAGGGTCCCTAAGTGTTGAGGGTTTCGGAGTACTGCGGAAGCCTGACTCGTTAGTAGTACCATTCTTGCAATGTACCTGAAAACCCTACTCTCGTTGCTCAGTCCCTACATGACAGATTTTCAAGACCCCTTCATAGCTTCGTTGTAGATGTTGTAAACCGTAAACCCAAAACCCAAAGTTTCAAAACCCAAAACCTTCTAGCCGCCGGACCCTAAACCCTAAACGCCAGGCCCCATATCCCTAAAACCCTCAACTTCAAGACAGCCAAAAAACCCTAAACCTCAAGCCCTAAACCCCAAACTCCAATCGAACTCTAATAAGATACTGGCTGCTGAAACTTCCTGGCAGTCCCAGCAAACCGGGCGCACCATGAGTCCCAACAAAAACTAACCCTTAACCCTTAACCCTAAACCCTAAACCCGAACCCTAAACCCTGTAGGGTTAGGCGGGGCCTTACAGGGCCTTGTAGGGGTTCATGGGGTTTAAAGGGTTTTGTAGGGTTTCGAAGGTTTGATGGGTTTTCGGGAGTTTCATAGGGTTTTCTGGAAAATAGAAGGTTGCCAGGCATCGGCAACATCGAGAAATCTCATCGGGTCCTAAACCTTAAACCCAAAGCCCTAAGCCCAAGCCCAAGCCCTGCACTCCAGACCCTCGGGATCGCACTTGGAGGTTCGTGGGTAGTTATAAGTGGCGGTATAAGTAGGGTAACTATAGCTAAACCCGGCATTAGCGGACTTATATAACCCAACTTATGACTACCCATGACCCTAAACGCTAAACCCTAAGCTCCAAACCCGAAACCCTAAACCCTAAACCCTGAACCCTAAACCCTGAACCCTCAGCCCTAAACCCTAAACCCTAAACCCTAAACCCTAAATCCTAAACCCTAAACCCCCAACACAGAACTGACACCGATACCCTGAACTCCCCGGCTGAAACCCAAATCCCGGCATCCCAGGAGCCGCCACAAAACCACAAATAAACCCTAAACCCTAAACCCTAAACCCTAAACCCTAAACCTTTAATAATCGAGGGGCCTTGATAGTTGCCTATATCTAAGGTGGAACCCATAGGCGGGTTTAGGGTTTAGGGTTTAGGGTTTAGGGTTTAGGGTTTAGGGTTTAGGGTTTAGGGTTCTAAGGTGGAACCCATAGGCCCCTAACATGGGCCCTTAGGTGATTCTAGGGCCCCTTAAGGGTATATAGTAGGGTATATAGTAGGTTATATTAGGGGTCCCAGGGGTAAGGGCCCATACTAGGGGCCCATGGGTTCTACCTTGGACTATACTATTTTGGGGGGGGTTCCTTTTTATAGCTATAGAACAATATACCCCCAAACCCTCTTCTAGTTATTAAGCCCTAAACCCTAAACCCTAAACCCTAAACCCTAAACCCTAAACCCTAAACCCTAAACCCTAAACCCTAAACCGCACCGTCGAAGGCGTTATAAAACCCTACAGAGGCATAGAACACACAGAAAGCCCCTCGCTTTCGGGCCGAGGTCGACTGCAGGTCTTGTGGGGTTTAGGGGTTAGGGTTTAGGGTTTAGGGTTTAGGGAACCCTAAACCCCTCGACCCCCAAACCCTCAACCCCGGACCCTAAACCCCACAAGCTAGACCCGCAAGCCCCAGAAAGCCACTCCCTTCTAAGCCGAGGTTGGCTACAACTCTTGTGGTTACCTTGGCTTCGGGCTGCCTGGGTCACTTTGGGCGACCTCCAAGGCGAGGATTCGATAAGGGCTTTGGGTTTTTAGGCTTTAGGGGGTTAGGACTTTAGGGTTTAGGGTTTTAGGGGTTTAGGGTTTAGGGGTTTAGGGTTTTAGGGTTTTAGGGTTTAGGGTTTTAGGGTTTTAGGCTTTAGGGGTTTAGGGCTTTAGGGTTTAGGGCCTCAAAGGATTTGGCTTCAGGGTTTTCTTTAGTGCTTAGGATTCGACCTTCATAATTTCAATAGGGTTGTGCGGCAAATTCTACTATGCCATTGTATTCATAAAGGTGCGCTAGGGGAATGCTGTTACTCGTACCAATTGCTACTGTTCAGACTTCTACAATAGGGGTTCCTCCGTAGGGTTTTTGGCATTCGTTGAAAGGGATTCTGTAAGTGTCCTTAACAGGCTTCTGCACGGGTCTTTGCGTCGGGGCTTTAATGCTTGCCCTATTAAACCCTGAACCCGAAGGAGATAGATGCTTGGGATGGGGTTCGGGGATATAGTAGCCGATACTTCGAAAACCCCTTAAGTAAGGAATATACCTCAAATCAGATTAGAGATCCTATTATAGTTTAAGGTATATTCCTTAATTAAGGGGTTGTGGAGTCTCTGGGTAGCCGATACTTCTACAGAGGAGATAGTCGGGCTTTGGGTAGAGGCTTCCCCAAACTCAAAGAGCTAAACTGCTAAACCACTAGGGTAACCCCAAACCCTACACCCAAAACCCTGAAACCAAGACCCAAAACACCAAAACCCAACGCCCTAAGCCCGATAAGCCCTAAACCCCTAAACCCTAAACCCTAAACCCCTAAACCCTAAACCCTGAACCCAAAATCCTAAACCCTGAACCCTAAACCCCAAACAAAGGCCCTTAGCCCTAAGCTTCGGTATTGGGTTCAAGGGCTGGGCGTCGGAGCTTGGGGTTTGGGGTCTGGTTTAGGGTTCAGGGGTGTCGGGTCTGGTTTAGGGTTTAGGGGTTGAGGGTTGAGGGGTAGGGTGTAGGGGTTTAGGAGTTTAGCCTTTAGGGGTTTAGGGGTTTACGGTTTAGGGGTTTAGGGTTTAGGGTTGAAGGGTTTAGGGTTTAGGGGTTTCGGGTCTGGGTGTATGTTCAGATGGTCTAAAGCACAGCCTAAGCCCGACACACCCAAAAGTCAACAACGACAATTATAGCAGCCTAAATAATTTCCTATAATATTTCGGGGTTCCTTATGATAATTATAGTACAATATACCCCAAAAGCCTGTTCTAATTCTTAAGGCCCCTGTACTACCGTAGACCCAATACCCTGAGACCCTAACTCGCGAAGCCCTGAGTTCTTGCTACAGCACAAGACCATGGTAACACTGTGGTGATACGGGTGATGATGTAAATCCTGCACTACCCATAATCAGGAAGATTCCCATAGTACAGGGTCCTTAAGGTAATGCAGGATTTATATCATCAGCAGTACTATTGCAATACTGTAGTAACCCTACGGCAATGCTGTCATAATACTCGAGCACACCCCCTAGATTCTGAACCCTCAGCCACCCTAACCCCTAAACCCTAAACCCTAAATCCTCAACCCTAAACCCTAAACACCTAAACCCTGAACCCTAAACCGTAAACCCTAAACCCTAAACCCTGGCCTGCAGGT